ATCCACTCACCTCAGCCTCCCAAAGGCGCGGGATTACAGGCTGAGCCACCGAGCCCGGCTTGAGATATTCCTTTACTGTATTATTTCCTGAAGTAATCTGAAATCCCGTTATTATATTGTGCCATATGAGTGAATGCCTTCAAGGCTAACTGGTGTCTGGTCTCCAAGGTTGTGTCTTTACTCTTAGAGCTCTGTGTCTCTGTAGACATTGCGGCATGATCCTCTGGTTCACACACCGCTGTCATTCGCGCGTGTTTTTTGGCTGCAACTCTCAGTAAGGTTACTCCACCTACATCAATTTGCTCAACAGCCTCCTCAACAGTTACATCTGAAGAAGCCACTGTCTTCACAAAGGGATAGAGATTGCAGGCCACAACTCTGATACAATTGAAATAAAATCTGGCCATGTCAGTATTGTCTTCTGGGATATTACGAGCCAGGATTCCAGCATGGACTGCAGGATGTAAAGTTTTCACATGTCCTCCCAACTTTTCAAGAAATCCGGTCAGCTCAGAGACATCTCTGACTGCCAGACCAGCATTCCTGAGAGCTATTGCAGTCCCTCCAGAAGCGACCAGGCTCAAACTGGGAGAAGTTAGGTTTCTTGCAAATTTCACAAGGCCAGTTTTGTCAGAGACACTAAATAAGGCAAGCTGGCCGGGAGTCATGGCTGCAGGCGCAGTTCTGGTGGATAGTGAGGAGGCAGCGGTGACACCCCTGCAGAGGGAGGCTGTACAGCCTAATGGGTTTCTGAAGTGTGGCAAATTTTCTAAATAGTTTCCTTGATTTTTTTCTGAGGGAGAATGTTTCTCAGAACAATGAACTGGGGCTCCTTAGTTACCATAGGACAAACATACGTGTCTATATATTTAAAAACTTAGCCGGGCTTGGTGGCTCAGCCTGTAATCTCGCGCCTTGGGAGGCTGAGGTGAGTGGATTGCCTGAGCCCGTGGGTTCGAGACCCACCTGGGCAACTTGGTGAGACCTCATCCCTACAATAAATCACAAATCAGCTGGGTGTGGTAGTGCACGCCTGTAGTTCCTGCTACTTGGAAGGTTGAGGCAGAAGGATCGCTGGAGCCCAGCAGATCAAGGCTGGGCCGCTCCCGGCCACTGCACTCCAGTCTGGGTGACAGAGTGAGACTCCAACTCAAACAAACAAACAAACAAAAAAACTTATTTGACATCATTTAGCAATAGCACTGAATATAACTAACTGGTACCCCCAAATTGCTAAATGCAACAGAATTTAGATAACTTCTTGCAAAATTTGTTTTGGGATTTTTCTCAGTGCCGGGACAAGATGCTCAGAATTTTGACTGATTGTCTTTGCTGGTGACCCCCTATTCCATCCGGGGGTTCAGTCCAGTCAGATTTCAGAATGACTACCTGTTAATGTGAATGCTGTCAAACCTCCAATAGCTTTTCCTTGAGTTATTCCTTCCTACTTAATTCATCACTTTCTATCTCTTCCCACAACGTTGCTGGATTTTCCAAGACGGGGTAGGGTGGAGTGGGACAAGGAGGGGAGGGAAGAGTGGTGGTCAGGGAAGGAGGCAAGAGACACATCCACCAGTTTCCTGCTGAGTTGATGGAAGCGTTTCCTGCTTGACCTGACCTTAGAAAGAACTGCCTACTAAGGCGTATATTGACGTCTGGGAGAGACAGTGAGTGATGTTGTGCAAACCTGTTGGGAAAATCCAAAGGAATGAAGGTGAAGTGCAGGAATTGCTGAATTTAAATGGAAGCATTCTTTTGGAATGCTTTTTAGGGGTAGTTTATTTTTTTAACTCAAGATTTATGTTCGAAAGTTTTATCATTATAGAGAAGAAGAATATTCAAATATCTTCTTTAAAAAATGAACAGAAATATCCTTCTCGCCCCCAAAATACTGCATTTAATTTTAGATTAGTAATAAGTAAGACATCTGGATGGAGCGGAACAGAAGTGTTTCTGAAAAATTCTGGGAACTGGACATGATTTTCTGCAAATGAACAGCAGGCTTTGTTTTGAAAAATATATTCTAATGTCTAAAGAGACAATCAAAGACGGTTTCCCATTCTGCTCTCCCTGGGTTACCTCCACCAACCACAAAAATTTTACCCAGTGTTTTTGGGGTCAATTCCTTATAAGAGGTGATGAACCTGGCTCATTACTTAGACCTGAAAAAAAGGAGGAAGATTTTTTTAAAAGCCACCTTTTACAAGATCTGGTTTAGTTTAAACCAAAGGAAAAAGGACAGTGGCAGCTGATGGGATTAGGCTATTCCTAAAGGGTCATCTAAAATGGGCAAGCCATAACCACCTTTCCGTCTGTGTCCTGCTTCCAGAGAAGCCATCCCAGAATCATGGGTCTCAATGGCCTTCAACTTGTTTTTTCTGTTTCCTTCCACAAATGTTGATGACACTGCTAATCTTGCTATCCTCATGTCCTCCATTCAGTGCCCTGCTTGAGCACAAGGTAATGCAGAGGAAACGCAGAATAGAGCCCTAATGTTTTCTGTAGTTTTAAAAAGTTAAATTCATATTTTGAACTCTACTTATTTTGTCCCCACCATGTGCAGACAACTTTGGGAGCATCAGCTCTGGGTAGTACTGGATCATTCCCTTTGAGAGGAGTAAGAAAGGTGAACGGCAATGATTCTAAAGACATTCTTGTGAAATGAGTGGTTGGAAGACCAATACAACAAACCCACGTAAGCAGATTGCCACCGATGTGTACGACTTCGGCTATGGTCAGAGCTCTTGGTGGGTGAGTCCTCCAAGCCTGGAGTTAGGAAGCTGCTCAGGGAGTTGATGTTGAAAGTATATCCCAATCCACCTTTCCCCATTTATTTGGCTGCTGCTTGAGGCATGTATCCTTTTCAAGTAGATAATGTTCAAGAAGGGTCCATGAAACCTGTCTCTTGTACCTAGGCATAGCGACTTGAGTTTTTATTTTACTTGTGAGAATCCTCTCCTCAGGTAATGGGTTACTCTGCACCAAAAGTGTGGGCTTACCTCCTTAGAGCTCATGTCGTCTCCATCCCTGCCACATGAGAGTGGAATAAAATGACTGCCATCGTGGTATGTTATTTCATTGATATTGACCTTCCAGAATACTGCTGTTTGGGAACTCCTCTCACAATGTTTCATTACTCAAAAAAGATACTGGCTAAGTTTCCAAACTTAGAGACAGTCCTTATAATGTCTCCATCACTTTATATGTTTCTTTGTAGACAAAAACCACAGGACTGCAGATTAGTTAGTATGCTACCTGGGAGGGTTGCAGCTGCAGGGCTGCTCAAGGAGTTCTCCTGAGGGAAAAACCACAGTCTGATGAAGTCTGACTATGCTGAAGTCTGATGCCTGGTCCAGTACCTGGCACACAGTACATGCTCAATAAATATTTGCTCAGTGAAAAAGAGCAGATAGCAAATTGATTTAAACACTCTCCCCAAGCTGGGCTCGGTGGCTCAGCCTGTAATGCCGCGCCTTTGGGAGGCTGAGGTGAGTGGATTGCCTGAGCCCACGGGTTTGAGACCCGCCTGGGCAACTTGGTGAGACCTCATCTCTACAATAAATAAAAAAAAATTAGCCGGGCATGGTAGCGCGCGTCTGTAGTTCCAGCTACTCGGAAGGCTGAGGCGGAAGGATCGCCGGAGCCCAGCAGGTCCAGGCTGCGGTGGCTGGGAGCGGCCACTGCACTCCAGTCTGGGTAACAGAGTGAGATTCCAACTCAAAAAAAAACCCCCAAAAATAAAAAAACCCAACTCTCTCCACTCCTTGAAACTATCCCTCTCTGAATCAGATTCTGATGCAGCTGGTATTTAATGGACAGCCATTATATACAAGGTTCTGCATTTCACATTTGTCAACTCCTCTAATCCTCCCAGCCATCCTGTGATCTTGTTTATAAAATCAAATCTAACAATTAGAATTTTCTTACCAGATTTGAGTAGCATGTGTTTGCTAACTTGTCCTAAATTTTTTGTGTAGTGTTGGTTTTCACCTAGGAAAACTTGAGGCAGGTTGCGGTAAAATAACTTAAATGGTTTGACTTCCACTCTTGGGAAGCTCAACAAATTTCCTGCTGCAGTCTGACAACAGTGTAATTCTTTGGTAGTCTGGGGAGCTTCCGACTTCTCTGGTTCCCATGTACTTCTCTTCTTTTAAAGTTGAAGAAATATTGTAAAAGCAGTATGTTTTGCCAAACATTCAAACAGTACAGAAGTATATTTAAGCAAAAGAAGTGACATGCCTGGTTTCTTCTTTCTTCCCCAGGCTTTCTCTGTTAACTTTATTCACTATACGCAATAGCTACCACTGCCACCCATCGGCTTGGGGTGTTTCTCCATACTTTTTCTGAGCCTTTTTCTAAGATCATATTATTCCTATTGCTTTGCAACTTTGTGTTTTTTATTTAACAATATGTTGTGGACATCTCCTAGGTCAGTACATTTGATCAAACTCATTCTTTTTATTGACTGCCAAGCAGTGACTAGCATCAGTTGAACACTTATTGAGTGGTCTATGTACCAAGTACTAGGTGTCACTTTATTTTATTCTCAGAAAAACCATACGAGGTAGGCACTTCCACCCAATTTTTTTTGAATAGGGATCTCACTTCGTCACCCAGGCTGGAGTGCAGTGGCATGATTATGGCTCACCACAAGGAACCTCAACCTCCTGGACTCAGGTAATCCTTTCACCACAGCCTCCTGAGTAGCTGGGTGTGCAGGCTACCATGCTTAGCTAGTTTTTTTTATTTTTATTTTTGTAGAGACAAGGTCTTACTGTGTTGCCTAGGCTGATCCATCCTATTTTTATATATGGGGAAATTGAAGTGTTAAAAACATAATTCACTTAACCAGTTCCTATTAGGGCATAGTTAGTTGAAAACACACACACACACACACACACACACACACACACACACACACCCCTGTAGGATAAAATCCTAGTTTCATTTATTCTGTACCTATTTTTGAGAACCTGTTATGTGCCAGAAAATGTAGGCACGAGGAATACTGTGCACGAGGAATACTGTGTTGAAGATGACATGGATCCTGCCTCAATGGTACTTATATGACAGTAAACAGGCAAACAGTTACCATAATGTGAGGTGGTGATGAATACTAAGAACAATAAAGCTTGGTGAGGGAATGGAGAGTGATAGGGTTGCTATTTCAGAGTAGGTGGTCAAGGAAAGCTTCTCTGAGGAGAGACTTGAATGAAGCGAGGGAGAGAACATTCTAGAGCAGCAAGTCAGAGATGGAAATGTGGCTGGCAGCTTCAAGGACAGAAAGGAGTATCAAGAATGACTCCAAGGTTTGGAGACTTAGTGAAAATGCTCAGTAGTAGGACCATTGGCTAAGAGGGGATAGAGAGAAGGGGCAGGTTTGAGAAGGTGGGGGCAGGGAAGCAGAGATCTGCTGTGCACCGAGGTTTGCTGAGTCTCTTATACATCCGAGGGAGGTATTCTGAAAGGAGCCTGGGGCACAGAGGAGAGGTCAGGGCTGGAGACCCAGTTCGGCCATTATCAGTCTATGGGAGATGTTGAAAAATAGATACTTGACTGAGTGTATCTGAATGAGAGAGGTAGAGAAGATTAAAATTTCTGAGTCATGGAAAGGGGAAACATGTCCCTAAATGTTGTCAGAATTGTTCATGAAAACGTCTTGCCAACTTATGCTTACTAATACCCCAGGAGAGGGCTGGATTCACATACCCAGGGTGAAAAATA